GGTATGAAATCTTAATCACTTTTAATATTTGCACTTTTAGGTTTTGATGTGTATTTGTCTAATAGATTGGTGACTAAATAGTCTTTAATTCATTGTATTTAATTAACTTTTTCCTTGTGGCTGAAAGGTCTCACTTTACCAACAAAATATCCTAAAATAAAATGTGGATCTGGCTTATGTTTACTCAACTAAAAAAATTATCAGCACCCACATGAAAGATTCCACAAAATCTTGTATTTAAAATATTGTAATTAATTTATTGAAATTTTTTTCATCAAAATACTAAAATATATTTAAAATATTGTAACTAAATTATTGAAATTTTTATATTACTCCGTAAGTTTCATATTTAGTATTGTTGTAAGTAAAATTATGTCACGAAATAGGTGTCAGTTTTAGTATTTTGATGAAAAAAATAATAATTTTATATGCTATATGAATTTTTATATTCTACAATTTATTTTTCTATTGGTTGAAATATAATCATATATATAATTAATGATGTTTTTAGTTATAAAATATACAAATGAAATATATTCTTAATATGTGTGAACAAATTAAAATTTTATATATACAAATTAAATATTCTAAAATTTATTTTTCTATTGGTTTAAATATAATCATATGAATAATTAATGATGTTTTTAGTTATAAAATATACAAATTAAATATTTTTTTAATATGTGTGAATAAATCTGAAATGACACTTAAAATGAAATGGAATGAGAATTTTGTAATTTAAAAAATAATCACATTTAATTAAATTTCTATATTGAGTAATTTTTGGTGAGATGTTATAAAAATATACATTTAATATCTTATAAAAGATGATCCCACTTAAAAATTGTACATGGAAAAATCTTGTAATTATGTTTTAATAGTACTGATATGACAATTAATAATAAAGATTTTTATTAAAATTAAATAGGTTCCCTGTTAAATACAAAAGACAACATTCCCTTTGGAATATAAAATGATATAATATAAATAATGAAAATTATTTATAGTTTCAGAAAATAATCTTTATAAATTGACAAGAGAGACTTCCCATTGTTGCCTATATAAACACCTGAAGGCAGCATTTCATCTCATCAAACCCCACAGCAAAAAAAGCCACTCACCTTTTATATATCTCTTTCTCTGCTTCCATGGCGACCAAGCTAGACACAACCAGCTTGCTCTTCGCTCTCTTGTCCAAATGTAGCCTCCTTACTCAAACCCATCTCGCTCTCTCTCTTCTCGTAGCCTCCACGGCTTGCCTCGCACTCTCTCTCTTCTACTGGTCTCATCCCGGAGGACCCGCGTGGGGAAAACACTTCCTCCATCGCCGTCACAAAACCGCCGTGATCCCCGGACCAAGAGGCTTGCCTTTTGTCGGAAGCATGTCTCTCATGTCCAACGCTTTAGCTCACCGCTGCATAGCCGCAGCCGCGGAAAAATTCGGAGCCAAACGTTTGATGGCGTTTAGCTTGGGAGATACTCGCGTGATCGTCACGTGCAACCCTGATGTTGCTAAAGAGATACTAAACAGTCCGGTTTTCGCTGACCGTCCGGTTAAGGAATCAGCGTATTCGCTTATGTTTAACCGGGCTATCGGTTTCGCTCCTTACGGCGTTTACTGGCGAACGTTGAGGAAAATCGCGTCTAACCATCTTTTCAGCCCGAAACAGATAAAACGTTCCGAAACGCAGAGACGTGTGATCGCGAATCAGATCGTGAAGTGTCTTGAAAAACAGAGTGGCAGCAAAGGACTCTGTTTTGCTCGTGACTTGATCAAAACGGCATCGCTTAACAACATGATGTGCTCTGTTTTCGGGAAAGAGTACGAGCTCGAGCATGAGCATGATGAAGTGAATGAGCTTCGTGGTTTGGTGGAAGAAGGTTATGATTTGCTCGGAACACTTAACTGGACCGATCATCTCCCGTGGCTGTCGGAATTTGATCCTCAGAGAATCCGGTCTAGATGTTCTAATCTTGTACCGCAAGTAAACCGGTTTGTGAACCGGATTATCTCTGACCACCGTGAGCAAACTCGTGACGCGCCTAGTGACTTCGTTGACGTATTGTTATCTCTTGATGGTGCGGATAAGTTATCCGACCCGGATATGGTCGCAGTTCTATGGGTACGTATACATGTCTCTTTAAAACTTTGTAATAAAATAGACAAAAAGAACACAATAAATCTCTTTTATTAAATTCGTTTGGAATTTTTTTTTATTACTTTTAACAACTATTTTCTGATCAATTAAATAATGCAATTATGTGACACAACAACATGAATAATTTTTCTAAAGTAATTTACATTTTTGTTGGTTTTAAAGGAAATGATATTCAGAGGAACTGACACGGTGGCGGTATTGATCGAGTGGATTCTTGCTAGGATGGTGCTTCATCCAGATGTTCAGTCAATGGTTCACAACGAGCTTGATCAGGTAGTGGGGAGGTCAAGAGCCGTGGAAGAATCTGACGTGGCGTCTCTTACATTTTTGACTGCTGTTGTGAAAGAAGTCTTGAGGCTTCACCCGCCAGGTCCACTTTTGTCGTGGGCCCGCTTAGCAATCACAGATACGATCATCGATGGTCATCGTGTACCGGCAGGGACCACGGCAATGGTGAACATGTGGGCCATAGCACATGATCCACAAGTGTGGGAAAATCCGTTGGAGTTTAAACCTGAAAGGTTTGTAGCAAAGGAAGGTGAGGTTGAGTTCTCGGTTCTTGGGTCTGATCTGAGGCTAGCACCGTTCGGGTCGGGCCGTCGGGTCTGCCCTGGAAAGAATCTTGGTTTGTCAACCGTAATGTATTGGATCGCGACGCTCTTGCATGAGTTTGAGTGGCTTGCACCTAACGATGAAAAGACAGTTGACTTGTCCGAGAAACTGAGGCTCTCGTGTGAGATGGCTACACCTCTTGCTGTTAAGCTGCGCGGCAGGCGCGGTTAGAGCGCACGACAAGGTTATTATTACTATACACTAAAGGGAAAAGAAATTAGTGTGCGATGCAAAAATAAATAAAGAAGGAAAAAATTAAAGGAGAACAAGAAAGGCTATGAACACTTTCTTGATACGTAACGTGTGTGGTGGTGTGAGGAGTGATGTTATTGTGAATATAATGAAACGCATTAATCAATTACTATGTCAATGTCACAGAAAACAATAGTTGATATACTACTACTTCTCTGTGGGCTTTGAGTAACGGTTTTCAGTTCTATCTAAATATTAAATCATAGTTTCCTTGTTTGAATGTTTATCTTTATGAAAACGTAATTGATACTATGGGTTACTAACACCGCAATTATGGGAAACGTTCTTTGCTTGAACGCGAACACAACCCCGATTACATGCAGATAGAATATAACAATCTTTCATCCATTGATCAGCTAAATAAAACACACATTATCGTCAATAATGTAATAATGTATTTATTTTGACTTTAAATTCGACAAGACACATAACAGTAGAGAAATAGTGGATTCATTAGGCTAAAATCAATTCATGATAACAAAATAAATTCGGAAAATGTTCAAATCCTCTACATGACAGCATCCTTAAAATTTGAAATTATCTGTCGATACTTTTTGTGAAAAAAAAAAAAGATATTTGCTAAAGTTACCAAATAAACCTAAGGGTTGTTTTCCACATTTTTTCCCAACCAAAATATATGTAAGATTCGACTTTACAAAAGTTGCAGATTTGACATACACTGTCTCTTTTTTGTTTTCAGTGACCAAGCGTTATTATAGTGATCCCGTTTCATTAAGTTAATTTGTAGGACGAAGGATTCCAAAAGTTAAGTTTGTTAAAGATTACTAGCTAATTTTTCCCTTCTCTTTGAGTCTTGTAGACCTCCGCCGTCTAATTCGCTGTTTAATATTTATTTTTACTGCTTAGCTATGAGGTGGTATATATCTTATGAAAGTGTCCTTAAAGCGTCTACCAGTCCCTTTTTAGTGGGTTTATTTCCTCAGGCGTTGTGGTGCATGATCCACTAGAACTCTACTTCGATATTGCGGCTGCTAAAAGACTCAATTTGTGGAAAGTAGAGCATTTTCACCGACTAACAACTTAATCAAGAAAGTAAAATAACCGACAGGTTCTTATAGCTTACCTAAATCTACTAAACACCTGTTTAGGAGAATGTATCTTAGACATATAGCAACACTGGAAACCTCTAATTTATTGGTCAGACGTTTTCAAACAAACCAATCAATACACACTCGTCGCTTAACACTAAACAATTAACAAAAACCGATTTTCTAATAAAATAATATGATTAAATATGAGAAGAATATTGACTGCAATCACTTTTAAAGTGTGTCGGGTCGAACTAGATATGTATAATTGTTTTGAACTTTTTCGAGCTAACAAATATTTATAACTAGAGTTATAGTCTTATAGAATTTGTATTAATATACAATATGAAAAGATTGTGACACATGAATTATTAAAGAGTGGTGGTATTTCTAATCTAGTAAGGAGTAGGCACATAAGCAATGGGAAAGAACAAAATCTGACAAGATTTGGATTAATTGTGGTCTAATCATATACTATTGAGACTTGAGAGATTTAAAAATTGGATAAGTATCTACACAGATTTCTTTTGTAGAAGCACCTTCTTAATGGCGTCTTGTAGATTAAATAAATTGATATAACCTGTTACATCAGTTTTTTCATTACGTCGGCGACTTAAACACCCGCTGACTTACAATAAGATTAACTGAAATTGTTTATCTATAAATACTGCTCTCGATTATTTGGTAACATATGAATAAACATTGATCGATTCTATGGTGACATATTAATATAACTATCTACGAAGGACTTAGATTTTAACAACAGTCACAACTCAAAAATTCTCACAATATAACTCAACTAAAACTCTAAAATGTAGATTAAAAGTTCAGTACTAATAACATGTTTGCACAGTATAGCTATACCAATAAGTAAAGTGAAATCAGCAGTTAACAAATTTATCAATCACGCTTAGTATACATATAAATAACACAAATGACTTGTCATATTTAACTTTGTACATGGATACTTCACTGAAAACCCAACACCACTTACAGATTACATAATACATAGGCTTATCAATGAAAACTCTCACATTATCTACATGGACCAGAATAAACAAATAAGTATTATATCAAATTATTAGAAATGCAGAAATAATAAAAAATAATTATTGTTTATGACAATCATAACGTATCAATAGGGTAAGTCGTTTAAAGTTTTCGTCAATATTTTTTCTTAATAGATTTAGTTGATTGAGCTGTTGTAGCCGTTGCCATGGTCTTTGACGATAAAACCATTACCAGAGCTAGGTTTCCAATAGAGGCTAAGATGAACGCCAGGATCATGATGAGTCTCCGACGAGTTGTAGACGACAGAGCCATTTACTATCTGAACGTTACTGTTCACAAAACCATCCATCGGTCGATATCCACCAATATTATCGTTATGCTTCTTTGAATTGTTTGACCTATTTCCATTGCCATGTGTCTTTCTCGGTGACCGTTGTATCTCCATCACAGCTCCTTTGTTTTCACCTGAGATGGTTATGAGGCCTTGTGTGTCCATGATGACATCTTCAGACTCATGTTGCTGCTCCTTGTTTGGACTGTGTACGAGGTTTGTTTTGTCCGAAAGTATGCTTTTCTGATGAGTGACCTCTTCCTCGTGCCTAGGCTTAGTGGGTTCATGTTTCATAGACCGTGAAGATGTAACCGGACTAGGTTTAGCCTCTTGGACTTGTTTCGGTGGTGGACGTAATGGTGCGGACAAAGGTTGAGGCGGCGGAGGAGGTGAAGGCGGAGCAGGCGGAGATGGTGGTGGTTTGATGACGTGTCGGGGAGGAGACGGGTCGCGTGAAGAGTGTTGTGTTTGCCGGACGACGCTAGAGAAACGGTACCAGGAACGACCCGATTGATTCGACATATTATGATATTTAGCTTTCTTTATATGATAACGGTTTAAGATTTTAGGTATAGAATTAGGTCATTTATACATGCTTTGTGATGTTATTAGAAATAGATTTTTTTTTTTTGATCAATATTAATATTGTAGTTTACCAAAGAAATATTAATGATGTACGAGTAAGGTATCAGATGCAGCTTTCAAAACCCACATATCACGAATGGTATCAATTGTTATCATTCAAATCATTATATTTAGTTGTTTATTGTAATTTTGTAATATAAGAACTAATATATGTTCTTTACTTTAGACGTTTTTGTTTGCCTTAAAATATTTGAAGAGTAAAAAATAAGGATTTTGGCAAAGAGTATAAAAATACAGTGAAATGCGAAACTTAAAAGGCAGAACTAGAATTTTGGCTTTCACAAATTCGACCCACTTATGTTGTTAATATTCCTGTTGTATAAGAGACGAATTTTAGTTTGAACATTTTATTTATCATTAAGTATTAAAATTCTTGTACACTGAAACCATTACAGCAGAAATTAAAACTCTGGAAAACACATGTTGTTGAGCCATACATATATCATATCGATACCCACTCACTATTATTTTACAATTCAGCATTTACAAACAAAAAGAGTTGTAGAAGACTTTGCTTATATATATATAAATAGAGTCAGTGCTCATATCACAAGTCCAACAACTAGAACTGTAAAGACAAAAGCAAAAGAGACCACAGCAAGTGAAGGGGTTTAAGGCCATTTGGTGAACTCAAAGACCTTAAGGACGATATCAAAACCTGTTGGGATTTGCCAAATGAAAAGCACAACATTGAGAGCGTTCAACGCAATGTGTAGATTCCTCGCCGTCTCATTTCCTTTCTGCATTGCCGGCACCAAAGCAGCTGCTGCCGCCCATAGCACCGTTATTCCTGAAACCACCACCGCCAACTCAATTTTTTTTTACCACTTATACACAAATGTAAACGAGAAAATGTATATAAATTTTCAATTTTCCAAGCATATTTAGTTATGATGAGGATGATAATACTATTGAAATAGCAGTCACAGTATCCTTTTTGTGGTTTTGCAAATATTTATTCTTTATACCAAAGATTATTTTTAGATTTTCAATTTCCATGGTAATACAACAACAACATTTCTACACTTAGATATATTTTCTGATGGTCATGAAGTGAAAATCACTCTAACTCTGAAAAAGTTAAAAGAAAAAATCCCCCAAAATTAAACCGATTCAAACCCGGATTTCCATTTTCAAATCTCAAATCGAGCCAGAGTTCTAAAAATTGGTTTACACACTATCTAGAGCCAATATATCTTTTTCAATGTTCTAAAAATCGGACTAAACACTACCTAGACCAAAATTGGATATGCAATGTTCTAAAAATTGGTCTACACACTACCTAGAATCAATATATCTATCTTACAAAATAATTAAACAAATAATCCATTAACGTCTAAGTAACACTCATCTAGGTCCAGTATCATGTTCGTGAGCTAGTCTTCTATAGATCGCCTAATTATGAGATATAATTAGCGGTTAAGTAAATACCTGCACCAGCGTAAAGATGAGGACCGGGGAAGAGTTTACCCGTACGAAGATAAGTATTAAGGCCACCAAACACAGACTCCAAAACACCAAACCCTAACAAAACAGAGCCTGCGTCAAAGTGTTTGTCTCTATAAGACCCTTTAACCAACTCTTTCCTCTCTTCCGTCAACCGTTTGATCTCAAGCTCCGTCGCAGAAGGAGGAGACGAAGAGTCAACAACCGTGGAACCATCGGGAGAAACAGGAGTTGGTTTAACCTGTTTCTTGAGTTCGTTGATCTCGGCTTGAATGGTGCGTACACGTCTCCATTGCCAACCTAAGTAACCAGCGTATAGAGTGTACACGAACAAACCTCCCATGACGATAGGGTGTATCAACGCGAAGGAACGTCCTTCCAAGATCCCAAACTGTCCTCCAGCTGCTGCTGCATCTTGTGGATCGATGATAAATGGTAATGCGGTGAGTGCAAGAGGGAGAGATGATGATTTGAGGAGCTGGAGAGCGTTAGGGTTTGAGGGTGTTTCATTGATCTTGGGACGTTGTGGTTTGAGAGAGTTGAGAGTTTTAGGACGATGGGTTGTGCGAGGACGGAGATGGAGTGTGGAGAGACAATGAAGTGTGGTCGCCATACTCTCTCTCTCTCTCTCTGTCTCTTTGTTTCACTTTGCTAAATTGTGACAGAGATTATTATGGCAAAAAGAGAGGAGAAGAAACAAGAGACAGATCCTTGACCGCAGAAACAACAACCAAACAGATAAGAGAAACTCTATGGATGCTTCACGTGTCAAATAACTGGACATTACTTAACATAATACAAACATTTTTAAATGTCATTTAACTGGGCATTATTGTACACTTATAAGGCCCATGTGGCCCGTAATATTTCTTTCTTCACATAGATTTTAGTTGGAGTTCTTGTTTATTGGGCCTAGGCATACGGCAAATCGAACCGAAAACTTTAATTCTTGGTTATCATCGAACAGAGATGGTTGGTGTCGTTGCACAAAAAATAAAATAAAAGATGGTTGGTGCTGGTGACTTTTGTAATGCCAAAGTTTCGAGTTGAAGTAGTATCTCTGTGACTTTCTGTGTGTACTGTGGACCGCGTCAGTCGTCGTCATAAGAAGCATAGAATCATTGATTGTGCCATTTTACAGACTTTCAGTCAATAGACATATGCATATGACATGAGAAACAAAAGCACAGTAACGACTAAAGCGTCAAATCACAAATCTATGTGTAACTACTACTACCTTATTTATATACAAGAAACAAAATAGCAATTGCTGATAATTAACAAGTAGATAATACTGTTCACTTTTTTTTGAAAAGTGTCATACAAATAATAATAATAATAAAAATTACAAACTATTGGTAACTGTATTTTATCACCTCATCACTAAATATCATGTCAAGTTTTTCGTTTCATCAAGTTTTTTTAGCTGCACTATATAGCTGTGATTTCCAAAAAAACTTCACAAACTAAAAGTCTTGGATTTGAAATCTAAGATTTTTATTTTTTTTTTAACTTAATCTAAATTTTTTTTTCTCTCCAGTCTATGAACAATTAGTCATTTTAATCATACATTGACACCTAAGGAATAGATGACCGAATCATGTAGACAACCTTATCTTCGACTTAAAGACTTCTTCAATTTTCATCCCTTTGTATAAGAATGATTCAACGCGATAATGTATAATAATAAAATCTAAACGACAAGTGTTCAGTAATACATTGGCGTCACGTTAAAATCAATGCTTTCTCCATCCAAAACCACTTTACAATACCAATATTACTCATAGATTTCGTAGAAATATCAATTTCAGGAGTATATACATTTAGATTCTCATCAACATAGTCGTAAGCAAGTAAATGAAAACACCTTAAAGTAAGTGAATGGGATTTTTTTTTCTTCTACCAAACGTATTAAACATATTATTATAAGAGAGCTCTTTCTTTTTCTTTCGACTAAATGTTAAATTTTGAAACAAAGATTTGCTAACAATAATAGAAACACGATCCGAGCAAATCAAAACTACAGAGCTACAGAGCCAAGACATTGGATTATACCTAACAGGAGGTGTTTTCAACGGAAACAACTCATGCAGCAAAAAAGGTTGGCATGAAGGCACATATTATTGTCGATGATTCTCATTCGCCCACTACCAATAAAGAAAACTTCTTAAATAAAAAACATTTCATTTTTTTTTAAAACACTTCATTTTAAGAAACTGAAACGGAAATTTAAAAGATGGCTATGCTTTGTGACATGCACACCGCTTCTATTCGTTCAAGGGTTTAGAATTTGAGGACCAAATTAGTATATCTATAAACTAATCCTTGATTTCTTGGTATATCAATGATATCTCTATATTCCTAACTTCTGCCTAAATTGTCCAGATACGTAGCATCAGTTTAAAGGTGGTGTTTGGTAGGCTATTTGAATTTTCTCTTTAGGCTCTGCCACTAAAAGCAGAGACAGCAAAATATTTAGGATAATTGGTTGTTTGAATTCCAGTGTTAATCATGTTGGTCACTACGTAATAATAAAAATGAAATCATATATGTGTCTATACACGTGTTCATGCAGGATCAAAGATTGTGAAAAACATAAAAAGAAAAATGAAAATGCAAGTGTGAAATGATATAGGTACGTCCTTTTGGGATAATTGATGTTTTTCTCATATAAAAGTAAGGTAGGGTTGGCCAATTTGGTTCGTCTGCACCTATGATTAAAGAGTAAAGTCCGATGTTTCCACGATCATCAACAAACAACACACTAAGCAATGAACTTGCCCATTAAAGGTAAGACAAAATTTTGATCACCAACGACATTTAGATATATAAATGATATAACGTCGATCATCTAGAAGTCTAGATGCTAATTACTTAACAGCATGTCCAAACTCTTCGGTATGTTTGATGAAAAAGCACATGTTAATGACATTGTATCTTGGTATTATACATCGAACCCTCACGCTCCATCTAACATGTGATTTATGTGACAAAAGCATTTATAACACTACTTGGTGGGAGTTAAAACCTTTTCAAACATTAGTATAATTTATACGTGCAGACTGTGAATTTTCATTTTCAGTGTATGCACATGGTTTTCCAATCATTGTTCATGCATGTAATCTCTATATATTAATTACATTACGTAGTTTGTTTGTTACTGATTTGGTATTTTCTTGTCAACGATTGATTTGGGTTCCTGTAAAAAAAATATTTGATACTCTTATTATTTTTAGGTATAACGTACGGAAAAGCGAATTTTAACTAAAGGTTTTAAATGTTTAATCGCTTTTAGATCCGTGATTTATGGTGATAATCTGACGCTAACAATTGGCATATATCCGAGTGATGGAGTTGATAGAATAAATTAAGTGGATGATGACTGTGAATTAATATTCTGCTAATCTTTCACAGAATTTGATTTATTATGATGTTAGGACCACTTTAACTATATCTGTAGTTGATATTCCCGTTTCAACTAAATTACTTTTAGAAAACCTTTAATCAAAAAAACATATTATTACGATGTTAGGACCACTTCTTGAATCCGGATACTAGCTAGGCCTCAATATCACATATTCACATCCAAATACACTTGACAATCGCTCAAACACGTAGGTTGATAGATAGCAAACGTACCACACGCCCAGTCTGCACACGCCTGCGCTACCAAGTCAAGGTCAAATGATTACTTGTGTCTTTCTAGTGTCCAGCGTGAGAAGCGGCTACCATGTGATATACGTGTCGAGCAGACGATAATTATACGATCGTTTGGAGGTTCCACACATACTTGACATTATACATTCGATGATTAGTCATTAATGATAACTGATCAAATATTGATTATGATGATGTTGTAACCATATCTACCCAATCAATTTTAGATAAATTTCTATGTTAGTTACTACTTCTATTTACAAAAAAAAACGATGTTATAATTGAAAACACCCCTAATTTGTTTGTATAAGACAGTGATACACGTCTTCTCTTTATTTAGTATCCAATATATTCCGAATATTCGAGCCATAAAATTCCTTCATTTTCTTTACCAAAAAAAAGAATAAATATTGGCCAACCAAAAGTTGACTTTCAGAGCTCTGTCACGATCGATATAGTTTTTTTTTTTTTTTCAGAAGCATATTGTAATGTAACGCCAGCAAGATTGATCCAACTAGCGACCATATCAACCATCAAGTGGTATGCGTAGTTTTATTAATTTCTACGGCTACCCAATTTATTTTTAACCATTTCATTACTCTACTCGAAGTTAGGTAGAACGAAAAATCTGAAGAATTAATAACGGTTGTCTTCGTTGCTGTTTTTGTTTTAGAACACTCAGCCTCTGGCTCTTTTAATCATGATGATGATTTGAAGAGATCATTTGATTTTTTGCGGAAATATATCACAGTTATTGATAAGTTGCCATATGCAGTAACAGCAATTAATATTTAGTCGAATAAAGAAAAGAATCTAAAAACTTTATAAATTTAGAAAAAAAAGTGATTAAGATATTAATTGTGGCGTAAGCATCAATACATTACTTGCAAGTGATGATTGAACCATTCAAACCAACCCGAGCGGTAAAACGCCGTGACAGATATTTAACAAAATACCGAAACTACCCCTAACCGGTAACTATCACCGTCCCTGCCACGCTTCTTTTCAAAAAGATCTTCTTCCCTTCTCTTCTCTTCCTAAAGTGTTCTCTCACGATTCTCTTTAATTATACCCTAAAACATGTCTCTAATTCTTTCCACCTTGTCATCATCATCTTAGATTCTAGGGGACGTTTCAGATCATGGGGATTCTCTGGAACTCGGTTATAGGAATACCGGTTCTGATAATGGTTTTGTTCTTGGTACGAGTTGTTTTATTCAAAACCGGTTTGATTTACACGGTGAAGAAGTGGCGGAGGAAGATCATCGACTGGTTTCACGTTTATCAATTCTACAAAGTCCCTGAGTTCAACGATAACTTGCAGGAGAATCAACTATACCGTAAGGTCTACGCTTACTTAAATTCACTCAGCTCAATCGAGAATTCGGATTACACAAACCTCTTCGCTGGCAAAAAGTCAAACGAGATCATCCTCCGTCTCGATCGGAATCAAGTGATCGGCGACGAGTTTCTCGGCGCTAGAGTTTGTTGGATCAACGGAGAAAGAAATTTCGTTTTGAGAATTCGAAAAGCCGATAAACGGAGAGTCCTCAGCTCCTATCTCAACCATATACACACAGTCTCTGAGGAGATAGAGCAAAGGAGGAGCAAAGAGGTTAAGCTGTTCATGAACGTCGACAACGGGAGATGGAAATCCATTCCATTTACTCATCCTTGCACGTTCGATAACATCGCCATGGAAACAGATCTGAAGGATAAAGTGAAGTCCGATCTCGAATCGTTTCTCAAAGGGAAACAATTCTACAACCGACTCGGAAGAGTATGGAAAAGGAGTTATCTTCTTTACGGACCTTCAGGTACCGGAAAATCGAGCTTCGTGGCCGCGATGGCGAATTTTCTAAACTACGATGTGTACGATATAGATCTAACGAAAGTGGAAGACGATTCCGATCTCAAAATGATTCTGTTACAAACCACGTGTCGGTCCCTGATCGTCATCGAGGATCTAGATCGGTTCCTCTCGTCGAAATCAACGGCTCTCAGCGTTTCCGCTGTTTTGAATTTCACAGACGGCATTCTAACCTCGTGCGTGGCCGATGAGCGGATCATGGTGTTCACTATGACGTCTAAAGAACATATCGACCCGGCGGTTATCCGTCCGGGTCGGGTAGACGTTCACATCCATTTTCCGTTATGTGATTTCACGGCGTTTAAAACGTTGGCTAACAACTACTTAGGCCTAAAAGAGCATAAGCTTTTCCCTCAAGTGGAAG